TTACCCAGACAGGTCTCTCTCCCACTCGCCAGCGAGAACACTGATGTAGGTGTATAGAAGTCTCCTGCTCATGCCACAATAGCGACATTCCGGCATCCCACGTCCCATCGGGATACATGGGCCCTCAGACAGCCATGTCCCGTCAAGGCTTCGCAGATAAGCCTGCGATCATTCATTGACACAGCCACCGTGCGAAGGCGACTGCATTGGCTGCGGTCGAGCATCACGCCTGTCTTCTTTATGTGTGTCAGCTGACGATCTTTGCGCCATCGCCATTCCTCTTCTTCTCTGAATTTCGCTTTGACCTGATGGACAGTGTACGACTCAGGAATGCCAACGTTTGTTATATCCTTTCTCTTTCCGCCCAATCTCGCCAGGGTGTCCGCGATTTCATTGCCACTGATACCCGCATGAGCTCTTGTCCACTGAACTACTAGATCGCATGACGCAGCAGCACGTTCAACCGCCCTGCGGGCGTTCCTCACTGATGTACTCTCGAGCTTACCTCGGCCAACCACTGCCCGGATGGCGGCCTGACTATCACTGTAAATAACTGCCTGCTTTAAGGGATTATTCCGAGTAGAAGTCAGCCGATCGGCCGCAGCTTCGATCCCTCGAAGCTCGCCTTGCATCACGGTGGCGTAATCTGGTAACCTCGTATACGAGAACCATACTACAGCAGCGTCTTTGTTGGACGGCGCCAGCTCGACAACACCCGATCCGATACGTCCCGTCAGACCCGACCCTCCGATTCTGCTACCATCGCAGAATATGTGCCTCTTAGCAGAAGAGAGGCGATCTATTTGACCATCATTTATGACTGCGACCGCCCTGTGGTCACTCGCAATGCTCGCTGGATATGAAACGTCGAGATTCATGTCCTCTGGGTTCCGTACTTCCGTGCCCAACGCTCCCCAGCGGCCAAGGGCCCTGGTCTCTGCCTCACTAATGTCCCAGTCTCTGTGGAGCCATTGCTTGGAAGCGCGTACGCGAACAGACTGAGAGATCGGTTTTAACCCGCTGACTCGGTACACTACTGATGTCGGTGCGCTTTTCAGCGCACCCCACATCAGTCGGCCCATGAAAGCCTGGAGCTGTATGCATTTTTTCTCGAACCAT